TGATTTCGCTATTTTGTCGCGGATTATTACGGATGCGACAACGCAGTACGAAAAATTTCTCCGCACGAGGCCGCTCGTCAGCTTACGTAATTTTCAACAGGCGCGTATTGATTCGCACGAGGTGCGCGAGACGCTTAAAATGTCACGTGAGAGTTAGTGTTCCGTTACATAATTTAAATAATTCCAACGTACGTCGGAAGATTTTCGGATGTATTATGCATAACTGCGATGACACACGTTTAGCTCGATTTATCTCTCACGTTTGTGATTTAAGACATTTCTCGCGTCTGTGTCGGATTTTCAGTCGCGGTCTCTGGTAAATTTAAACTTTATCGAGCCGAAAGATACCAGGGGTTAGACATCATATTCGAATCTCTGGATTTCCGTCGCATTTATTCGAATAATGGAACTTTGAAACGCGAGAGTTCAAACACACCCGGATATTCGAGTGTTGGGATATTCGAAACTTCAAGAACGAGCGAGTACGTGTGTGCGTTTTGTAGGCGTAGTAAATAGTATTTACTGTCCTAGAGAATTCTTTTTTGCATTGCATGCTGTCGCATATCATGGTGAAATTTGGATTTATTTTAAAGTTGGGGAGATTTATTGTTTGTGCTTTCCTCATTTACTTCGTCGACAGCAAAATTGAAGTAAAGATACAGAATAGATACCTAAATAACACGTATGTCTATAAGACGTCTCAAAGTTATCCTATTGTTCAAAAGACGTCTTTACGATGTCTTAGAACGTCTTAATATTATCCGAGTTAAACTAATACTCTCGCACACCGTTTCGTTGCACTCTCCAAAATTAGTTCTGTTAACACCTTCTATATTTCGGATCCTCGAATAGAGCTCGAAACTTTGAATAGCTCGATTTCAAATCTCTGAATTTTCGAACGCCAAATATCGAGTTATATCAAAGTTTCGAAACCTCAAATATATATCGAGTATCACTACTCTCCTAGAAAATATTTTTCTACAAGTTCATTTAAATGTCCGAGTAATAAAAGTGGACGCGAAACGAAGTTAAAGCGAACACGCGCGAGTACAGTTCTATAAATACGAAAATCTGTGATTCATACTTTTGTCTCATTCATCGACATGTTAAGAGAGATATTTAAAACTAAACATTGGTTAAAATTTAAAGGGGTCCCTAAAAAATTTTTTCACACACGCGAACCGCCGTAAATAATAACTCCGCGCGATTATTTAAACGACGGTAATTCATAATGCGCTTTAAGGATCGCGCGATCAAAATGACACGCGTAAATTGTATCTAAACTTTTCGCAGTATCCTATTTTCGCCGTGTTTTCCCCGGTAGTTTACCGTGCACGAAAGGATTAAAAACGAATATCCGGCCGTGATTTGTTATTCCGTTTCACCGACGGCTTTCCTCCTACGGTTTGGCGTTACGTCATGAAAATGCAAATATTGTTGCGCCATGGAAATCTAAACGCTATTCTCTTTGAGCGAACGAGCCACTCGCCGGAGGATTAGTTGGTTGGAAGGAGGAAGATAAATGTAAGATTCGCATGTGATGCTTCGGGAGCGTTCGTTACGTGACAGCTTGATATACCGGGTGGCCTGGTAGCGAAGACTTTACTCGCGCGTCCTCAAATCCCTGTTTTGTAATCTCTATTAATTAATTAATTGCCGTCGTGTCACGCGTTGCCGACACGAACGTATCGTCGGATTGTTTATCTGATAAACTCTGGGAAACATTTCGCGAATGCGTGTGTTTAAATATCTCTTACACCTCGATGTATACGTGGAACAATAAATAACTTTCCTTTCCATGACTGCATTATTCAATTAAGACTGTTTTGCACAATTGCGTGAAAATATTACGAGATAGTGGGGATAGTTGCGGGAATTCCCGGGTTAAATAAAGATAAATCACCATAGCCGGGCGTGTTGAAAATTGACGTTTTGAAGTAGCGATTCAAAGAGACGGGGAGCTCCCGAATACACCTCGTGATTACGCGATTTCGCAATTATCCGCTCCGTCCGTTCGTTCCTCCCGAGCCTCTCGTTCGGGGATTCGCGAAGGAGCGCGAGGGGTGATCTACAAATGAGGGTTTCTTCTTATCGCCGGTCAGATATATTGGCTTCCGGTTCGCGTTACGTGCGATGCGAGACCTCATATAGTAGGCGTGTCGCGTAATTAAGCCGCCAGAGATTTGCATACGATCCGCCTTGTAAACGCGCGCGCGAAGAAGAACCGTCTTCCACCCTCCGCATTCGGGAGGGTGGTTGGTAGATAGGTAGATGGTTGGGTGGTTGGGGGGGTGTAGGTAGGTAGGATTGCTCGTGGTTCACCCACCGTGCTCTCTCTCTCTCTCTCTCTCTCTCGCTCTGGCGAGAGCGTTCTGACGCAGACACCGCTTTTTGCACGCGTCTTATCCGAGCGCGATCTAAGAGGCGGGCGCGTCTGCATTGCAAATTTCCGAAATCGAAGAAAATCCGTTTTGTCATCCGGCGAGACGGAAGGTGAGTCCTGCTCGCTGCGACGCCACACGGACAGCCGTTGTTGTACAGTTGATGACGGAAATTGTCGTCGGCCACTCGTCGCTACCGACGCTCCAACTTCAGAATTCGACGAGAGTCGATCGAACAAACTATCCGAGTGTGAGCTCGCTCGAGCGAGTTCCCAAACCTGTTCGACCTGCCCGTGGACGATCTGCATTTTCATTCGTGCGTGCACATTCACACTGGCAAACACGCACAAACACACGGACACAGCACGCGACTACGTAATGAGAAGTTTTACCTGAGACGCCGCTGCGCTGCCATAAAAATAAATGCAATTGTAACGCGAATCGTCGATGCGATTGCATACGCATTGCATTTGATATTTCGCGGGAAACTCGATAGCTCGTTGCACCCGCGATTGCAATCTCGTGGTTCGATTAAAACGGACGCGCAACCTTTTTATCAAAATCGTGAATCTCTCTTTCACCCTCCCCCCCTCCCCCTCCTTTTCCTTTCTCCCTGTTGCTCTCTTTTTCTCTCTCGTGTCTACCTTCTCCCTCTTTTCTCCCCTCACTTGGCAATTTCGGGTGGAATTACGCTTGTTTTATGGCAGTGCGAAATATCGCATGCGTTTACAAATATGAGGCCGCCGGCTGAAACAGAAATTGACTCGCGCGCGCAAGCCGAGCTTGATTCCCCGTTCCGAACAATTGCGGTGGTCTAATGTTGATCAAAAAACCGCCACGGGGGGCGAAATTACGGTGGTTCGGGCGTGAAAAAAATTGTTGCAGGCGCGTCTCGCGTAAAACGCTGTTGAAGATGCCGCAATTTGGCCCCTCCGGTTGATTCCTTTTTTTTTCTTTTACGGCACGCACACACCCCTTGCAATTTATCGTCATAGTTGCTCCCCTGTTTTCCGAATAGCGCGTGTCCGACGGGAATTAAAACGAGCGCATTAAAACGCAGAAGATAAACGACCTGAATTATTTATTATATTTAGAAATAAAAGTGACCTCTCTCTCTCTCTCTCTCTCTTCCCCCTCTCGTTCCTCTTTAAATTTTTTCGTCGTGATGTTATTCTCTTTACGTTTATACTCCTTCGTAATTTTATCGACTTTAGTACCGGTGCTAAAAAATATTACCGAGTATAGCGCGCGTTACGTGGCGGAGCGGCCGATATTTACGCATCGCAAAGTCAACGTCACGGACAAGTAGGTGCGCCAGTGCCGTTCGTAATTGTCCGACAGCGAGACGACGTTACATTCGTGACTTTTGAATGGTCGTCGTCGTCGTCTTAGAAATCGTCCGCCTCGGCACCAACGCCCCGAGGACGGCGGCGTACCGTTGCCGGGCGTAGCATCGCCCTGAGTTTTTCGCGTTTCGTCTTCATCGGCTAAAGTGCACCGTACTTTATTTCACCCGACGCCGTATACAGCCGACTTATGGACATGAGGCGCAAGACAACTCCCCCGGCCCCTCACTAAAAATGCACTGTAAGGCAGCGTAAAAACTCACCCCGTAACGGCATCGATACGCCGGGCGCATCGCGATGAAAGTGCACTCGTATAATACGAGTGCTCCCCCACGTGCGCGTAATGCGTTTATTTTTCTAACGAACGCACACAGCACGCCGGGGAACGATTCTCCCCTAGAAGTTAGCGTGATAATTGAGGATCGCGTCCCCGCGAACGAGATCGATCGACGAGGGTGTGGGGGATGAGAGGGAAGCGGAGACGTATAGTCAGTCACAAAAAAGGTTGCGACCATTTCTTTTTGTTTGGTTTATAAATTTTGTAACGCATCTCGCGTTCAATGGGGGAGTTTATCTCTTGGTAATTCTTAAGAGAGACATTTTCCTACCGGACGCGAGATGCGTTGCGAAATTCATCGAAAGGTGTTGTTTTTGTTACTGAGTGGAAAGAAAAATGGTTGAAAAATAGCTAATGCCACTGAAATTCTAATCATTTTCGCTATCACACATATTTTCTGTTATTCTAACAGCAAAATAGTGAAAAAGGGAATGTATCGAAAATAAAAAAATATTTACTCGGGCACGGGTATCATATTTACTTAAATCTAAATTGTTATTTGAATAGAGTAAACTATTGCTTTCACGAAAAAAAAATACGATTTAAAAAAATATACATTTTCTCATTTGAAAAAAATTTGTGCGATGGAAAAATATATACATTGGTATAAGTAAATATGTTATTAATAACTACGCGAACCGGGTAAATATTTTTTATTTTTTCGCTCGCAATGCGGTATCAATATGCATTTTAGTTTATTATTATTAATATTTGAAGCTTGAAAAAGGAAGCATTTATCCGAGAGAATTATTTATAATATTCGATTTAATTATTTATAATGTCCGATTTCATTATTCGGCTTAATTACACGATATATATGTACGATATCGAGATCTTTGCGTCGACATTCTCTCTTTCATATCCCGACTGTATTTTACATCACGTGTGCAAAATATGTATATATGAAAACCCGAATGGTTCGCTTCTTTGTTTCAGATAACGGTAAGTGGACGACGCTGGCGGCGACGCGATTAATCGCAGGCATTCGCGGGGACTCGGAGATAAAAGTAGCTCGAAACCCGGCTGCAAGTGCCAAGAGTATGTTTAATATCTGAGTAATGAATGCTTTTACGATTTCTTAATGCGTCAAAGTGCGTGCGCGATACGGCAGGGGGGCGCGCCCGGGATTTTATTTACCTCTCGCGAATCCGTCCCGGCCGTTTAATTGCTCTTCTTGCCTTGTAATTTTCATGCCGGGCTTCTTACCCGCCCTTTTTTATCGCCCGGTATTTAGCGGCGGATTCTCTCATTAATGCACGATTTTTCGCTTTTTTACCTCCGGGTCGTTTGAGCACGGCGATATATTAATCGTCCTTCCGTCCCGACTTCATTTTCGACGGTTAATGCTTCCTCGTTGTTCGATTTTGTCGCGCGTGTGCCCGATGCTCGCGCGAGTTTTAATAATAATTCCGGAAGTCACGGGCAAATTTTCGCGCCGTTAAACGCCCTCGTGATTCATCGACGTGTGTGTGTGCGAACGTGATTTTATCGGTGCGCGCGACCGGTACCTTCACATCTCGTCACACCTCGTTATTTATCCGTTAATCGCAAAGAGACACGCCCGGTATTCTCAGTTACGGCGCGGAACGTGGAAGAAGGATGCGCCGCTCTTGGCACAGCCTGAGCCGCATCCGGTATATAGATTGTCGTCGAGTTAATTTAAAGTCGTTGCTTATTACGCACTTCATAATTAACTTATCTAATTATACGACGGAATCGTTCTGCTTCCGCGACGGCGTGAAGTTTGACGCGCGCGCGCGCGTGCACGCCGTCGGGAAGCTGTTTCGCGAATCTTCCCCTTGCGCTTCGTCCAAGTGGCCATCATTTTTGAACTATATCCGTCGCTGTGACATTCAGAGAGAGAGAGAGAGAGAGGGGGGAGAGAAGGATTCGATTTATTTTGTCACAAGTACTTTTTGTCGGGCACGTCTTGATTCTTTCAATCGTTTCTTGTTATGCAAACTCTCGAGTGACTTTCATCTCGGGTTATAGAATTTCAACGTTTGCGCAGCCCGAGCGATTCAATCGACACGATGACGCTTTTACCTTACCGTATAAATCCCAAATTATATATTTCCTCAAGTCGTCGTTATTTCGTTGAAATTTATGTACCGGCAAAAAGATACCGGCAACGTTTGAAATGTAGAGCGCTCAACCCGTACGTATTCTCGATACCGGAGGATTAATCCCGTATCGCGACGAAACGTGATATTCATCGATTACCAAAGATTATTACAATTCCCATTATATCTTTATAATATCGCTGCGTGTGTTTTATGTGTATTTTATTTATGAAAACTTCCTCTCTCTCTCTCTCTCTCTCTCTCTTTCGCTCTTGTTTGTATCTGTTTGTATTTTTACTTTCTATTTATGTTTTACATTTAAACTCATATTTAAACTAAGATCACATTCTTTGTACTTGGTTTGTTTTTCGGAAATTTCCTTTGAGGGCTTTGTCTCAGTGTCAATAACGCATCTTCCCCCTCCACCTCTCTCTTTCTCTTTGAAATATTTACATTGCGTAGAATATTTCATGTGACTTGCATTAAGTCTTGCAAGGGAACCGTCGGAAATGTTCCTCGTCGATTTTGATAGACTCCGGATGTATGAAGCAGCAAAAAATAACAGTCCCATGTTTTGTTTATGCATTCATTTCAATTTTCATGTGTTCGTGGGTTAAAACAGCACCCTCGAAGATAACGCGAATATTTAATTCCCAGCGAATATCATCGAAACCGGTGCGGTATGTGCAAAAATATTTTGCACACAAGTTTTATGACATTTTACACTTTTCACGGTGGTGCATTCAGATTTCTCGAAAATATCGGGCCATTTTTGGAATTCGAAATTCCGAAACAGCGTTACCGCACGTGAAACACTGAAAACAATACAGACCTTCCATAATGATTTTATCATAACGAAATTTTCACGTTGAAAAGTCGGAAATTTTTATATTAGACACTTCATGCTATTAAAACACTAACTTAAGCATTAATTTGAGCCGCGCTCGATAACTGAAACGATACGAAGGAAAGCTATAGCGAGGTATAAATCAGGTTAATCAAATAATAATTATAACACTCCAGCTCCTCCCGATCGTCGCCGTGATACGGCATAAATAATTGAAAATGCGCCGCGCGCGTTTCTTCTCTTCGCTTCTGGCTAGAACAAATAATCGCCGGAGGTGGATCGAGTTTTGTCGTTGTGGGGGTATAACGACTTTCCGGTAAATTAGAATCGATAAACTATCGATATATAGCACTTCCAGAATCCGCTAACGATCTTTTTGCACGGCGCGCGAAACGCCCGCGCGCAAAAACACGATCGCCGAGCGCGTCGCATTGAAAGTTTAATTATGCGAGCGTGATGAAAAATCGCCGGACAAGCGCGTCGAGACGATGTAATCGCGCGGCTAATGTTTATTAGCGCCGCCGCGCAACTTAACACAACATGCGAGGTAATAAGAGACAAGATTGTGCTTTACAGTCGCCCCTCCTCGTCTTCTCCCGCGGTCTCGTTTTTTTCCCGTTCCCCTTTCCTGTTATCATTCGTCCTCTAATGGGAACACGTTAATTTCGTGCGTGCTTTTTTTTCTTCTCCTTCATCCAAGAAGATTGTTACACACATAATCATGGCCGCTTCGTCCGAAATGACAACGATAACGAGAAACATATCGAGAGAAACGAGCGACGCTCGGTTGTAAGTCGCAACTTCGGGATAAGATCAAAACGGAGACGATCATTTTAACCAGGTGATCTCGAATTTTTCTCTACTATCGATGAGAGAGAGAGAGAGAGAGAGAGAGAGAGAGAGAGAGAGAGAGAGAAGCAAAGAAGGGGTGAACGCTCGAACGCGTTTTATCTTATTACAAAGTTCACATTCTTATGAGCTCCATGGTTTTATGTTATTACCGCAGAAAAGAAGGAAAAATACGCGAGAAGCTCTTGAGGCGGAAAGCAAGAGAGAGAGAGAGAGAGAGAGAGAGAGAGAGAGAGACGTGGCAAGGACTCGCGGAAATTTCTGCCGGGGATTTCTGTTTCTTCTGAAACGCGTTCGCGCCGCCTTTGTCCCGCCGTCGTGCATCTCGACGGGCACTGCGCGCTCAATTTCTCTTCATAAAATCCAAAAGAGACTCGAAATCCACTCGCGTTCGCGCGCCCGCGTACGCTCGAAATGAGGTGTGAAAGAAGCGCGCGCCGCCCCTCCGCGAACTTAAATCAACATCATCAGACACGGCTAGATCGATGTAATTGCTGGTGCTGCGATTTAATGGTCCACTCTTCGACCCTCCCCCCGCGGACCTCAACCTCCTCGCCCTCCCCGTTGCTCTTCCTCCTTTTCCTCCTCCTCCTCTTCTCCTCTCCCCTTGAGCTCCCTCCCCCCGCGTTTCCGCTTTCACTCGATAAAACCTGCTTTGCAGCTCGCAACCAGCCGGCCAGCCGGCGCTTCATCGCGAAAATTGAGAGTGCAATTTGTAAGCTACCTCCCTTCCACTCTGTTGCCTCACTGATATTAACCCCGATCGATGCAGCGAGTCACCCCTCCCCTCCTCTCTCTCTCTCTCTTTCTCTCTCTCTCTCTCGTTTGCTCTTTCGTTCTGCTTCCCCCTCGGCTGGTCGTGATGTTTCGCGTTCGGATAATGACGGCGTGCCGTCTTCGTGCGGAGATTTCGTGTGGAAGGTAGCGGAAGTTGGGCGGATCCGCGAAATTTTTAGCCGGACGTCCAGATTGCATCGTTGTACGGGGAGCTTCACAGGTCGAAGTCAACTGGTTAGACAGAGAGAGAGAGAGAGAGAGAATGTGTGTGTGCATGTGTGTCTACTTCTTCGTACAGCGGTTACTGATTTAATCGAGCGCGCGACGATGTTGTGTTCTTTCTACCTGTAAATGTGCGAAATTTACAAGTATAATGATTCATGTACAGGGTGAGAAGATAACTATTACCACCCTGAATATTTTCGAAATACGAGAGTAGGGGAATAACTTAGGCAGCATAAATTGCACGATCGATGCCAATGGTCATCACTTCGGGAACACCTTCTGTAAACGTCATCTTCTTTCATCCTCTACTAATTGTCAACAAAATATTTCTATTCTTCAAAGTCATTCAACGTCGGTAACTATTGGGTTGATGCAAAAGTTCGTTCCGTTTTGTTAACCAATCCTTCGCTGAGAAAACCCAGAGTTTCTACGAACGCGGAATCATGCAGATACCGGAGTCATCGAAAACAGCGCATATTTAATGGATTGGCTATATTTTAAAATATATAAATGTTATACGTATACGTTTCGATGATAAAAAACGGAGTGAACTTTCCGCGTTAATAGTTATCGCTTCACCCTCTATACAACGAGTATCAAAAATCGCCAGTTTGCCCCGTTGTTTCCGCCCGCGAAAGCTTCGGTCTCCTCCCATTTTTCTTCCGAATCAACAACGATCGTTTTAATCGTTTTCACAGAGAATACGCGACAAATGAGAGAACGACTGCAAAACGCAACGATAAAAACGCGCGTCAAGTGGCGCCCGAGCGCAATATTTTCGCTATATTTAAATCGTCATTACTGGAACGCGAAATCTCTCGAAAAACTCGCGCACCAACGAGCGACGAGTTAGTTCAGAAACTTCTCGAGTAGACTCGCTCGCTCGCTTTCGAGCGGACATCGACAATACTCGATACGTTCGAGAGTTCAAATTGAGCGCCGAACGAACATGCAGAATTTGTCGATGGTCGCGCGTCCACCTTCCCC